AATACACAATTTACGTCAATAGAATCTTTATTTTGTATCAAACAAAATGACATTTCAGATTAAACTAAGTTAAGGCTCTAAAACTTTTCGTTCATATGTTTCAAATGAAAATACTTGTTTTATACATGTGATACAAACAGTACATATAAAAAACATGACCTCACCCACCATATGAAACCAAATTTTAAAATTAAGAATGGTTCGTTTATCGGTGTACCAGAAAAACAAACCCCAAAAAAGCACTTTTCTCACCTTTTGCCGATCGACAAACAACTGTCAAAATTAATTGTTTCCCACCCCCCCCCCCCCCCCCCCCCCCCCTCCTCCCCCCCCCCCCCCCCCCCCCCCCCCCCTCCCCCCTCTGGAGGTATTAACTCCCAAAAGAATAGAATAAATAAATACCAATCACGAAACAAAACTTTGTTCTCCGTGAGCTTTTGCTACCCGTGATAGTAGCTCGATCTGATTCGCGACATCTTTCAAGGCACTAAGCACAATTCCATTCCCCTTTAAAAACCCATAAATATGATATTGAAGTCCAGTCTCCTCGCAGAATTCCTTGACAAATGGTTGACAAATGCGTAAATTATGTCGAGGGATTCGCGGGAAAAGGTGATGTATAGCTTGAAATTGTAGGCCACCATGAAACCAGTCCATCCACCATGGACAATCCACATCCATACTTGTTCGTAACATTTTCGCTGGGAATGGTTCATCTGGTCCGAGGACTTCTGTTGACATGCCAAAATGAGATAAGGTGATTTGCACGTGTAGTATCATAGTGATCATGTGTGAGATCAGAATGAATGCTATGATTATCCTCCACGAGGGGAGAAACGAGAGCATGTATATGTACCATGACCAAAAGAATAACATGCCGGCCGATTCCAATTTGCGAAATGGTACGCGTTCATCGAAACATAAATAGCTAATGGAGAGAAAGTATAAATTGAATCGACCAAAACAGAGCACTGGATAATAAAGGTAATGTTGCAGGGGTATAAAAAATCGGGCGAATACGTCAAAGTGTAACGTTCGTTTATAAAACGAGGAGTACAAGCTTTCGATAAATCTTGTGGATACTGCAAAAAACGGCAGGTGCTGAATATCCGGATCATGAGTGGGATCATTAGTAACAATGTGATGAACATAATGATTCTTTTTCCACCAACCAATACTCAATCCCCCACAAAAACTCGCGATAAAAATTCCAATTAGATTATCAACCAGCAGACTATGTGTGATCCCACTGTGACCAGCATCATGAGCTGTGAATGCGAGTTGATGCCAAAAAACACCGAGAAAAATCGCGCTTGTCAAATAATGAAATGTCGTTGTACCATATAAAATCAAAATCCACGAGATCATAATAAGCAAAACATATCGAATACACTCGTATCCGTAATTGATGTAATTACAATCATACAATTTATTCTCTCTGAGTTTTGATTCAAGTCGTCGATAAGCATGCAAGATCTTTTTCCGTTCTTCTTTTGTTGACGACGGCACAAGGAATTCAGAGTCTTCCGCGTATTCACCTACGTAGAAATTATGTATCTTTTTTTCGTAGACATAGGCTGGATGAAATACATTCATTTCGTCTGTCGCATCTTTGCCTACTAAATGGTGGATTGCTAATGGTCCACCGGGATGGTACTTTACCCATTTGTCTAACCTATATATTTTTCTGTTGTAAATTATTAATAACTGCCCTTCTTTCACGCGTCGCAGAAACTCTTCTTTAGTCAAGTACTCAAACTGTGTATCGTGTATCCCTGCCAACGGTGGTGTCATTATGTTGATACTAACAACTTCTAATAATGTAAATAATTTAAAGAAAAAAAAAATAGATCAAAACGCGATTGATAACGCTCGTATCACATCTAAAGAAGAATTAACGGAAACAGCCACGTCATGGCAAATAAATTAAATTTCACCAATTTCACCATATGGTAACACCTGTTGAAATGTGTTCCAAACGCGTTCTTACAACAGAATCTTCGGTTTACTTGAATTTTCCATAGAATTTAGTATGTTTATTAAATAGAATTAACAATAATACCACCCCTGAGGTCGGGGGGGGGG